TATATATATATATATATATGCAGTGGCGATGGTTTGATATGCTGTGGATTGGGGTGGTACGTAGGGCCTAGATAGAAGCAAGCGAAAATTGTACTTGGACTCCAAGGTATTTCCAGCGTTTGGTCGCATCCAACCTAAAGACAGGCGGCTGCAGCTGATTGAACCCGTGGCTGTTCACTCGGATTTGACGATGACGTTGTCGGCACCCGTGAGTCGCGGCGACCAAATGTGTCTCATGTCTATGGACCGCAAAGCCATTCCCGTTGAAATCGCTGCCAGGTACAGATAGATATACAGCATATGCTCGAATGTGGTGTATTATCTCTTATCTATTCGTAAACTCGATAATGTTTGGGTATATATATGGTAGAATACGACAAGGGCGACACGAGTTGGAGGCAGTGGGGTGCTTGGTAAGCTGCAGTGCGAGCATCGTACAGCACCTGGGCGACGATTTTGACTTGCTGCGCACAGCCGTGCAGACGGGACTGGGCAAGGACCCGTCGATTGCGATCACTGGCAGCTTGAGCATGTGTCAGCTGGGCGTAGTTCACGGCGCGCATCACTTGAGTCACTCGAACGGGATGGTGGCCGCGCTCATCATCACATCCAAGCGGAAATCCAACTGGCGCCCCCGCGTCGCCCATCGAAAGTCGTTTTAACGTTGTCGGCGAGTATGGAAGTGTTGGTCCAGTGACCCGAATGTGCTGTTGTGTTCCAATAGTAGTACAGTGGGTTGCTCAAGGTGTGGTGGTTGGTTGTACTAACTATCAATTTGCCTGGATATACTGCTACGTACATAGAAGACTCCCGCAGTACGTACATAGTACAGTAGTGGACTCCCGACCTTTTGGCTTTCTCTGCATACATGTCCGCCATGTATTTCGACGTTCACATATAGTAACTAGTTAGTATGAACTAGTAAGCAACACGTTGACTGCGAACGTCGATACTATTGTGCTTTTCACCTTTTTTGGCTAATCCAGGTCTAAAATCATGCTTTAGAGCCAGTCTGGTAAAAAACTTGAACGAAATTGACATTTTGCCAAAATGGCGGATTGAGTTTTTTTCGAAATGCCACAACAGGTTTTTTCCATTTCGTTCAGAGTTGCAGTCCATTTTTTCCAGACAGGACACAAAATTGTAGAGCCTCTACAATTTAATTCACATATCTCGAGTTCATACTAAATCCAAGTGAGCATAAAAACTGTAGAAATAAGTACAATTGAACGAAAATGAACACCACAAAGAGATAGCAGCGAAATATGGCAAGCGTGGACGGAACTCGGGCGTAGTGGACGGCTGAGCGAGATGAGTTTCTCGTCGCTGCGCTGCAGGCTCAGGTCCTCAAGGGCAAGCGCTCAGATTCTGGCTTCAAGAAGGAAGCCTGGGCAGAAGTCACGTCAGCATTCAACCTGCGATTTGTAACGATGTACCACACGTCCAAGATCAAGTCGCGCTTGGACTGTGTACGTTGTGAAGTCACGCCACATCATGACAACTCACTCTTTAGTATATAGCTGAAACGAGATTACAAAGACGTCAAGTATCTACGCGACAACTCCGGGTTTGGTTGGAACAGCGAGCTTCAACTTCCCACCGCGCCGGATGATGTTTGGGCGTCTATCATCAAGGTAGACATCCTGATGATACACGTACAATCCAACTTATCACAGGCGAACACGAACTGCAAACGATTTCGCTCTGCACCGTTCCCTCTGTTCGAGACACTTGCGATGCTCTTGGAAGGATCGTATGCCGACGGCCGTTTCGCGTTCATGCCGCCAGGTGTTCTCGAGCCCGACATGGATGTTACCGTCGAAGCAACAGGAACAACACTTCCAATACCCCAAAGCGTGTTTGCACCACCCAGCGAGCTTGTTCAAGACGATGAAGACTCGGACGCCAGCTCCAATGACCCGACACCTCCACCAAA